GGCAACCTTATTAAATCTCTTAAAAATAATAACAATTACCCCAATCTTCATCTACCTCATATCAACTCTCAAATTCTCATCATTAACTCCTATACCAACTGCAGCATCCAATTCCTAACTTCTCTCAATCATCTTTCTATCCAAACCTGGCTACAGGATGCATATAGTATATGGAAGCAAGTATATTATGCTTACCAGCTTGAACATTCTTTACGGCTTCGACATCAAATTAACCAGGCATCCAAAAAAAGATGCGAAACACTAATTTCCAAGCCTACCCAGGCTATTAATAGTATACTAGACCGCTACCAATATACTTGTTGGCAAAACCTATGGGATTTGAAATTGGGCTATGGACAAACCCGGACAAATAGGTTTGTCTACCTATATTTAAAAATCCCAAGTGGCAAAACTGGACAAATCCCAATCCCAAATCCCAAATCCCAAATCTATCCCAAATTCCAAACCTATCCCAAATCCCAAATCCCAATCCCAACCCAAATCCCAAATCCCAATCCCAAATCCCAAATCCCAAATCCAAAACTGGTTTTAACTATATGATAAAATCAAGTTAATCAAAGCTGATAATCAGCTATAGCAACTTAACTATGACTTTGCATTAGCTAGATGGTACCAGGACGATCTCTCCAAAGTGCCAGTAACGTAAAATTAATTAGTGTATCTGCATATTTTAGAACACTTTTTTTTAAATAACAATTGTCATTTTTGCAATATATAATATACTGTGGCTGCTATGTTACTGGCACTTTGGGGGCACCCAGAAAATTTGTATCAGGTTGGGTTCAGATAATGATCTGGATAATGTCCGGAAATTTCAGCTTTTTACTTAATTTTACTAAGACTTTATTTTTCAATTATAACAATTATATAAAGCAATTTACAACACATATCTAATGCATAGAATAATAGAAATAAATTTGTATTTTCGACATTATAATAGTTTATTTCTTTTAACTATCGGGTTTGTTTTCTGTGGCGTTCTTTGATTTATGCATATTTTCACATTTGGCCTTATAGTTTCAACTTATGACTCATAAGCGACGAAAAGTATTTGGCGAAATGACATAGGTAGATTTGATAAATTCTATGATTTTGTTTAGCCAAGTCATAATTTAATGGGTTTTTATTTGTAATTAACAAAATAAAGCTTACAATATTAAAATACATGCTTATAACATATTTTGCATCACTTTTTTTTTTTTGCAAGAAAAAAAACAAACGAAAATATTATTGACTTATTATAATTTAAATAATGTTAAACAAATAATTTTATTTTATTAACAAGATGACGTACGTACGTTGTTTCTAGCTCCGATTGTTCATACCATTCCGACATAGCTTTCAGGATGATCATCCAATCCAGCCTGGTACACATTTTCTAGGTGCCTTTGGGGGCCACCCTGGTACCGTCACATTAGCTACAACTAAATGGAATATGTAAAGAGCTAATAAAAACAAAGTTTGGGACTTAATCGTGATTTTTACATGATATTTTTTGAAATCAATTCGAACTGTTTCTGAAACTTGAACTTTTATGAAACAGGACCAGACAGGGCTGAACAGAACTTTTAATGCACCTGTATATTTGATATTTATTTATCTGAATTCAAAACTATAACTATTCTGTATTGGAGTTGTCCAACTTATTCTAAATTAAGTTTACATTCATCCATTTCCGGTTTAGTGCGGCAATGTCGCTCAGCTACTTATTAGTTTAAACCCTGCATTAATATTAATATCGCACTTTCCAAATTAGCGAGACAATCGAATTCTATGAATCATACGTATATACGTATGAATCCTGCATGTTAACATTGCAATGGTATTCATAGGGTTTGTAAAATAATTGAGCCGCTAATTTGAAAAGAGCAATAATAATGTAAATTCCATAATTCACGCCTAGGTATGGTACCCAACAGATAATTGAATGCAAAATAATTGTTTGTTTACTGGATCAAAAAAAGACGTCTAAAACAATTAGAATTGGCTCAGGCTAATCACTATTCCCTGTGTGGAATCTACATTCATTATTGCTCTTTCAAATTAGTGAGACAACTGAATTTTTACGTATAAATCATATGAATTCTGCATGTTACCATTGTAAAAACAATGGTATTCATAAGATTTATAAAATAATTGTATTACCAATTTGAAAAAAGCGATAATAATACTCCATGATTCACGCCCAGGTATAGTACTCAAAAAACAATTGAATGTGAAATAATTGTTTAGTTTACTGAATCAAGAAAAGACATCTAAAACAATAAGAATTGGTGCATGACCAATTACTATTTTCTGCGTGGAATCAACATTCATCATCGCTCTTTTCAAATTAGTGAAACAAATGAATTTTACGTATAAATCATATGAATTTTGCATGTAACCATTGTAAAAACAATGATACTCATAGGATTCATAAAATGATTGTATTACTAATTTGAAAAGAGCAATAATAATGGGTATAGTAACCAACAAACAATTGAACATGAAATAATTTGGTTAGTTTACTGGCAAAAAAAGGACAAGAATCAGCACAGTAAATGACTGACAAATTATTCATTATCGCTCTTTCGAATTAATGAGACAAACGAATTTTATGAATCATGTTAGCCTGCATGTTACTATTGTAAAAATAATAGTTATATGCAGGATTCTGATTCTTGAATTTCGATTGTCTTGCTAATTTGAAAATTAGTTTTTCATTTCTAATGTAACCGAATATTGACCCTAGATCTATTATAGGTCTTAATTTTGGTGAAATATAAAAGACATTGGTCTTGAATACGATCATTTTTTGGTAATAATAACAATATCACTATCGCTATTATTAACACTGATTTTTTTCGACTTTTTTTTTTAAAAGAAAAATTTTGAAACTAGTAAATATAAAATTCCACTTTTTAAATCGAAAATAAAAATCATTTTCTTGAAATCAGTTGTAACCCGTTTTTTTTTCAAATAAAACAACCAAAAAAATAAACTGATTACCTTTTTTCTTATCATATATATTATATATAAATTATATTTCAATAAGATGGAATACGCTGAAGATGATAGAATTTTGAATGAAACTTCTGCAATTAATGAAAATGATCCTTCATTGACTAGTGAAGAAGGTTCTAATATAACAACGCAGTCATCAAATAAGGGAGGACGACTACTAGAAACTATTTGGGATGAATACAATATAATCAATAATGGATTAGGAAAGCATAAAGGTGCAAGTTGCAAGTATTGTCCTACATCATGGGCTCGAGGAAGAGCTCAAGATATGCAATCTCACCTTGCTATGAAATGCAAAGGAAACGTACCAAGAGAAATTAGAATCAAAGTACTTAGAGATCTGCAGAGTGAAGACGATCCTATGCCATCAGGATCTAAACCTACCACTTTAAAAATCAAATCCATTGTTGTCTCTGGACGCCTATTATGATACGGTTGAAGCCATCGATAAAAGTAAAGAAGCAAGGGCCAATAAATCACTAATTAAATGGATTGTGAGTTTGGGTATTTCATTTTCGGCCTTTGACAATCCATATTTTGAAGATTACACAAAAATATTAAACCCTGGATATAATTCACCTAAACGTAATGCATTAGCATCATCAATTTTAGACGCAAAGGCAGCGAATATCATACTAAAAATAGAAAAAGAATTGTCTAAAGCTAAAAACCTTACTTTATGTATAGATAGTTGGTGTAGCCCATTAAAACATAGCATATATGCTTTTGTTATAGTAACAAATGAAAGAAAACAGTATGTTTACGCTTTACGAGATTTTTCAAAATTTTCCCACACGGCAAAGTTCAATGCTAAAAAAATAATAGAAGTCTTAAAAAATGATGGCCCTAAAAAATTTATAGCAATAACCACTGATGCTGAATCAGCAATGATGGCAGCCAAATGACAAGTTATAGTAAAATACCCAACTATTTTACCTATAAGATGTATTGCGCATCACATCCAACTTATTTCAAGTAGTATTTGTAAATTACCATATATAAAAAAGGTTCTAACTAACTGTCAAACTATTATAAGTTTTTTCAGGAATTCTTACTTAGTTGGTGCTACCCTTAGAGAAGAGATTATATTCTCTTCTACTATTGGTGGAAATTTAAAATCAACGACTAAAACTCAGTAGTCAACAGTATGGGATTCTTGTGAATCTCTATTATATAATGAAGCAAACATCAGATCAGTAAGTAATGGGTTTCAAAAAATTAATAAAAAAATTAAGTATTTATAAATTAAATAGATTTTTAAACAGCATTTTTGCTACATTTTAAAATTATAAATCTGAAAAATGAATTAATAATTCTGATTTTAATTTTGAACCTTCTAGTATATTATATTATTATCATATTAAAAAATTACTATTTAAATAATAATATCAATATATATTCTTATTATAAGGCCGCACAAACTTACACGATCAGTTTTCATATCTTGTTCGGATTAGTATTATTTTTTAAATATACTGATTAATAAAAATCTTCTACACCAAATTATATAACTAATGCGAAGGGCCATTTAAGAGCCTGGATCTCAAAAAATTTCAGTACTATTTTGTCTTTTTTTACTATAATTTGAAGAATTTCACTAATTCCACAAGAAATCAAATAGATAGATAAATGGAATTAGAATGTTGATGATTGTGTTTAAGAATTTCAACTTAGAGCAACAGAATATGAATAGATCTGATTATATGGCATATAGTAAATCTTATACTAAAAAAATAGGTTTACAATATGCTAATGACAAATATTTACGAGAATACTTTATTAGATACATTTATATTACACGAAAATAATATTATTCATTTTGATTTTCAAAAAAAATCAAAATGCAAACTTTGAACTATAAAAGTGGATAAATAAGACATATATGACTTCAAACAATATGTATATATTACAGAAGTAAACAGTAATAGTAGTTACTGTTATCTTGCTCAAATAGTTATTTTAATTATTAAAAATCTCACTTGACACAAAACACACAACAAATCAACTTTAGTGCGTAAGTATTTTTTTTTAATATTTCATTCTCTTTATTATTTGTTGAAAGTAACTAACTTCATTTATATTCGCTATTTCTATTAATTTTGCTATCATTTATACTTTTCTATTTTACATTTTAATATAATAAACTCTTAATAAAATCGTCATTATTTACAATTAAATGATTACATAACCAGCTCGAAAATTATTTCTATTCTTCCTTTGTACATTTCATTTTATTATACAATTCATTATCAATCTGCATTTTCTTTCCATCGTTTATTATAAATCGCAATGCAATCATGCCGAAACTGGCTATTATATATAACTGAAATTTCTTGAATTGATATAGCTATTTTTACTAGCTCAACAAATATGTTTGCTAACAAAGTAGTTCGAAACTCTAAGCTTTTTACGGCCCGTTTCACTGGCCCAAGAATATTTCGCAATTGCTCGATGTCGATCCAGAACTGACGATCATTAATTAAATTTTTTACTGCATTCGCACGATTAAAAGCTTGAGGTTCTTGTTCTAAAACCTATTAAAATAGATCGTATAACAAAAAATGATAATCAAGCCATGAATGCAATTTGTAATTAAATATAATTATCTAATGAATGTGAACAACATGCTGGCAAAATCAAACCCCTCACTCCAAAAAAAAAAATTAATAAGTTAAGGCTGCACAAACTTATATAATTGTTTTCATATCAGCATATTATATTCAAAGTTCTTATATCGCACTATAATAATCTATTAACAATTAATTTATCGAATAATTGTAATAAGTGCACTTATATTATCTGATAACTTGAGAATTTTCTCTACTGTGTTAATATATTATCTTCAATGAGTTATTTAAATATAAAAAAAATTCACTTTTGGATATTAGAAAGATCGTCATTCTAACATTATTTATAAAGTTCAATATATTGAGGTGATAAATCCTCTATAGGTAGTTCTTTTCTTTAGAATACATACTCAATTATTACAGTTATTATTGGTCTGAAAAATTAGAATAGTGGTTACCCGCGCTTGAGAATTGCTTCAAAGTTAGAAATACCATCGTGCAGTTTTGTTAAGCCCTTATACTTAGTAAAGAAAATGCAGATTGATAATGAATTGTA